TAGTAAGTTAAAAGGATAATGCATAAAAAGAAGTTGAGGCTCTGGAGAGCCGAAGCTCCCCAGAATAGGAGTATTAGTTATATAAAAAAAGTAGTTCGCAGTAGTAGATCGGTAGTGGCGATCCCGGCGATGGGGAGGAGTGCTTTTATACCCCAGGGGACAAAGATCGAAAGTTTAATGAGGGTAGGGTGGTCAAAGTTTGAACCAGGGACAGGGGTACTGTGTCATAGTAACGCAGTTGGTCTTTAATCTTTTTAACAAAAACCATTAATCGTTATTTGATATATTACGCGATAATACTGTGCGTATACCGAAAGATATGATCTATGATAAGCCGATTGTAGCATCCAGGTTGACCTTGGGTGCCAAAGTGTCGAAAGCGTACTGAATAAATTAAGCACTATTTTCGGGCATCTTTAGAGAAATCGTGATAATACATCGGCTATTCGTACAATTGTCCTTGTTTTCCTCTTTGTATGAGTTTTGGTTTTTAGATAGCAGCTCAAAACAATGATTGTCCGGACATTCATGGCGTTGTTTTTACTGGAAGTACCACCACACTGTTCGGTCTGTTTGGAAGTTTTACGTTCGATTGGATGATTTGGAATTTTTGACAAATATTTTGTGTTAGGTAAACCATAATTACGGTACTGCATGTGCTCATGTTACGTTGTTTTTTTCTTTTTTTCTATGGAATTTCGAGAAGAGTTTTTGTTCTGCAGAACCCTTGCGTTCTCCACAGATACAGTATTTACAGTACGTGTTTTGCAAATTTTTTGATCGGATTTTTCGCATTTTCGCGTACTTGTGCTACCTATTATCACATGTTGCATTATTAAAATTTCACTTTCACTTACGAAAACTTTCTGCAAAAACATCTCAATACTTTTGCCTGTCAAACAGGACACATTTCCTTGCCGTACGTTCGACTTAAAAAAAAAAAAAACACGCAGTACAAAATTACTGCAGTGCTTTTTACAGTTCTTTTGTGAGCAAAGCTACAGACCGAAACTGTTGGATATTCTCTGATTTTAATATTGTTTATACGTATGACACGTTAGTTTTTATTATTATTCATATTTTCCTGTTTTTTTTTTTTCGCGATAATTTATTTTACATCGTTTATTGTAATTGTTTTTGAGTATGTGGCATTTCATTCACTGCCATTGTGCAATGCGAATTGGTACTTCATTCCTTCATCAATATTTCACACATCTCACTTTTGAGATGTACTTATTTTCAGCATCCACTTGTTCACATTAATCAAAAAAAGGGACGCTTCCTCTAGTTGTTTATGTTTGGCAATTATTTTATAAAATTGATTCATGACCCTTCTGAATTTTTGCGGATTTCGAATACAAACAATATCGAGTAATGCGCCGCTTATTCCTTGAATTGGAGCGTCCCTCATATGGCCTAGTTTTATTAGGAGGTGAATATGGACCGTTTTTTTTT